AAATTTTTTTCCTTTTCCAAATTTACATTCAATTTTGAATGTCAATTTTTCCAAAATCTTTTAATGAATTTTATACCCAGATTTCTCTGACTTCCATCTTGATCAGCTAGAAAATGCAGTGTCTCAGGATGGGAAGGAGGATTTTCTTTTGTTAGTTTTTCCCTCCCCAGGCCCTCCCGTGGTTTTAAATGGAGACCTGGCCTTTGTTTTTTCAAAGGTTGAGAAGGACGGTCTTCTTTTGGGGTTTCACTTAAAACAAATTCAAGATTTTTTTTTTTTTTTTATTATCCACGGGCCGTTCCCCACCAAGGGAGGGGGGCCCGAAAAAGAAAAACTTTACCATCTTTCACTCCATCCTGTTTCCCAAAAGGGGTTTTCCCCCTAAAGTTTTAAATGCAACTTTAACACTCCCTGCAGGGTAGCATGTACTTCCCTCTCCGGACCCAAATCCGGCCTGCCGGTTTCCCTGAAACCCCCCCATAAATGTTACTTTGTCACACTCCAACAGCAGTCAAATATTAAAAACCATTTGTCTCCATTCACCCTATCAAACACCCCACGCATGCCTGCTGGAATCCAAGCCCCTCGCCAAAACTTCCTTACCCCCCCTCCCCCCAACCCACCCCTACCCCGCCTTCCTCCCACAGACTGATACACTCTTGAAATCATTCTGTTTCGCTCCCTTCTCTCTACATGTCCGAACCACCTCAACAACCCTTCCCCAGCCCCCTTGGGCAACAGTTTTGGTAAACCGCACCCCTCCTAAACTTCCAAACACGAATTCTTGCTTATATTCACCCACACATTGCCCCAGACATGACATCTCCACTGCCTCCAGACTCTCTTCGCGCAACATTTCATAACCCATTGCTTAACACCATATAAGGCGTTGGCGTAAAACTATACTATTCATAAATTCCCCTCTTTGCCTCAGGACAAAGTTCTTTGTGTCACAGACTCCTAAGTGCACCACTAACCCTTTTCCCTCATCACATTCTATGTTTCACCTCATCTTTCTAGACCCATCCGCTGACACATCCACTCTCAAATATCTGATTACATTCACCTCCTCCATACTCTCTCCCTCCAATCTGTATCCAATCTTTCATACCTATCTTTTGTTTTTCCTATAACTTAACTCTTTCCGAGTATTCACTTTATTTTTCTTCTTTGCACACCTACCATAATTCATCACCACCATCTCTGCAACTTCTTCAGAATCTCCAAGAGCACAAGTGTCAATCAGCAAAGAGCAACTGTGACAACTCACCATTTGTGTTGGGTTTCTTCCATCTTTTAACTCCAAGCCTCTTGCACTAAGACACCTCGCATTCACTTCTCTACAACCATCTATAAATATATTCCCCACCCCGGTGACATCACACATCCTTGTCTAAGTGCCTACTTTTACTGGGGAAATATTTTCACTCTTTCCCTAATTAACTTTAATTGAGGGGGGGGGGGGCCTTTTCACTATCCTCGTATAAAAATCTTCAATGCTTATCGTAACATACCTCCTACACCATAAACCATGCAAACATCTGCCACACTCGCCCCCGATCACCTGTCATAAGCCTTTTCCAATCCATAAATGCACAAAGACTCTTTGCCTTTCTAAATACTGTTCACTTATATATTTCACTTGTAATACTCCTGGTCCACACACCCCCTACTTTCCTAAAGCATCTTGCTTCATCTGCTATCCTATTCTCCGTCTTACTCTTAATTCTTTCAATAAGTAAAAATCTACCTCATACACTTTGCCAGGTATACTCAACAGACTTATCCCCCTATAAATTTTTGCATATCTTTTTGTCCAGTTGCCTTGATACAAAGGGAACTTGCATGCTCTCTGCAAATCCCTATGTACCTTACTACCCCCTTCACATACATTTTATTAATAATTGCACCACACAATCTGATGTATGCCACAAGGCTTAATTCCTCTAAGAAATAAGGAGGAGTAGATGTAAAAAAGAAAGAGACAGGCCTCCCTTTACAGGCGACGGAATAAGAATTACAGAGCGGCTAAAGAGGTCAAATATCTGAAATGCGTAGGGAGACATGGTCAGAGAAATAGCAAGCATCGAAACTTAAGCTAAGAATCCTTTAGGAGTCAGAATCGCGGGAAGAACTAAAGCATTTCTCGAAATCGAAAGAACCCAAAGTTTTTCTTCTCCTATGCAAATCAAAATCGAGAACAACGTCCAGTATTGGGCCCTACTTAAACAAGATGGGGTCCTTCACAGATGACAACAAGGAAATGAGTGAGTACTCAAGTCCCAATTTGACTCAGTTTTTAAGCAAGCCGTAACCAGACTGAGAGTCGAGATCAAAATGGAATTTTTATGAGAGAGCCACAAAATTTGATTAAACATCAAGCTATCGATGTTTATCCTGACGCCAAAATGGACTTCGAACAGGCGATAAATGACATGCCCATGCACTCTGCCCAGGGCCAGAGCTTCATGGAACTCTGTGTCATACAAGATCTGCAAGAAGGCCCCTATCACGGCCTTTTCCTCCCTATGGAGAGGGAGCATGGACACGGGGGTCGTCCCACTGTTTACTAAAACAACAGACATAGCCCCAATCCACAAAGGGGGCTGTAAAGCAACAAGCAAGAATTACAGACCATTAGCACTAACATCCCTTATCAATAAAAATCTTTGAAAGGGTCCTAAGAAAAGCAAGATCACCACGCATCTAGAAACCATCAGTTACACAATAACCAGGGCAAGATGGGTTTGAACAGGTCGACTCACTGTCTGTCTCAAAATATTGGACCAATACGACAGGTCCTAATGCACTAGAAGACAAAAAGATGCAGATGTAATATATACAAACAGACTTTGCCAAAGCCCCTCTAATTTTTTTTGCAAGTGTTGACATTGGCGTAAATAGCGCACAAAATGCGTGCTAAAGGAATACAGGAAAAGTCGGTCGATCGGATCTATAATTTCCTCACTAACAGATACACAGAGAGTTAGTCGTCATATCAGAGTAAAGTCGAGGCAGCTACGGTGAAAAAAGCTCTGTTCCACAAGGCCACAGTACTCGCTCCCAATCTTGTTCCTCATCCTTATATCCGACATAGACAAGGATGTCAGCCCAGGCACCGTGTCTTCCTTTGCAGATGTAACGAATCTAAATGACCAGTGTATTCCATTGCAGGTCACTGATCATAGCTCCAGGCTGACATCATCCAAATCTTTCAGAGGGCCTGCAGAAAAACAATTTGAAGTTCATCGATGAGAAATTTCAATTACTCAGTATGGTAAACTTGAGGAAATTAAATCTCTCAGAGTACAAACAAATTCTGCCACTATGAGCGAATACACCAACGTCAAAGACCTGGGAGTGATACATGTCGGACGGGATCTCACCTTCAAGACGCATATCATTGTATCAAATCGCATCTGCTAGAAAAATGACAGGATGGATAATGAGAACTTCCAAACTAGGGAGGTCCAAGCCCATGATGACACATTCTTCTGGTCACTTGTTCTATCTAGGCTGGGAATATTGGCTGCACAATAACTGCACCTTTTCAAGGCAGGTGAAAATTGCCGACCTTGTCAATGTACAGAGACTTCTCGGCGCGCATAACGGAGATAAAACACCTCAAATTATTGGGAGCGCTTGGGTCCTAAAACCTGTATTCCCTGGTACGCAGGAGGAGAGATAACATGATTATATTACACTAGGTAAATCCTAGAGGGACTAGTACCGATCTTGCCACGAAATCAACCCATACGAAAGCCAAAGACTTGGCAGACGATGCCCATCCCCACAATGAAAAGCAGGGGTGTCACTAGCACTTTAGAGGCATACAATAAGTGTCAGGGGCCCGAGACTGTTCAACTGCCTCCCAGCACACATAAGGGGGATTACCAACAGACCCCTGGCAGTCTTCAAGCTGGCACTGGACAAGCACCTAAAGTCAGTTCCGGATCAGCCGGGCTGTGGCTCGTATGTTGGTTTGCGTGCAGCCAGCAGCAACAGCCTGGTTGATCAGGCTCTGATCCACCAGGAGGCCTGGTCTCAGACCGGGCCGCGGGGGCGTTGACCCCCGGAACTCTCTCCAGGTAAACTCCAGGTAAACTCCAAAACTATATCCCCACCTGCTTTTAACATTTCTATCTTTATCCCATCAATCCCGGCTGCCTTACCCCCTTTCATTTTACCTACTGCCTCATGAACTTCCCCCACACTCACAACTCACAAATTCAAGATATTTACCATTAATAATTACAAAACTCAATAATCTAATAAATGTAAAATATTACAGCTACAGCAATAAATGAAATGCTTAGCTTTATTACCCTGTATTAACAGGTCAAATACAACTTAATTTACTTGATGCTACTTACTCATTAACATTTAAGGATTATATTTTTAACAATGACTTCCTAGTTGCAACAGTTTAATAAATTTCAACACAGAGTAAATTATTACTTTTGAATACTGAATTACTTCAGTAACAAGTACAAAATCACACCTAAGATTGAATAAAAACAAATTATGGTGTAAAATATACACTGAGAAAATGCTAAATAAATTACAATTTTTTTTTTATGCAACAGAAAAAAGTTTTTCATAAATTCTTGGGCAGGTTATTAACCTGTAAACGGTCCAAACGTATATACATGTTTTTACCGCTAGTGCCCCAAACGTATATATACGTTTTATTTGTCATACATTCAACATTGCCACAATAAGCCTGAGTCACCTAGACATGAGAGAATGGGTGTGCGCACTCACTGTGCGCCATATTAAAATAATTGGGGATGCCTGGGTACCATATGCTCTTTTTTCCTATTAAAAAACAACAATTTTGTGTCCTCCAAAAATTTGGGGAACTAGGGGAGAGAACGTATATATACGTTTGGACCGTTTACGGGTTAATAGTACCTGAAATTATAACTGATACATATGGTACACTTCTGATTAACTTTAACACTGTTAAAACTTAACATGAGCAATACAGTATAACATACCTGCATTCCATCTGGCTGCATAAACAACAGCACTGCAACCCTTATCAATGGCTGGCCCTAGCACAAAGTCATTTAATGTGAAGGTATGTTCAGTTTCCAACACATCAAATGATTCCTCCTGGCCATCTTTCAAATCTTTCTGATGCTGCCAGTACTCGGGATTATGTAGCCATCCTGCTCGAGAGATGGCCTCCTAAACAGATTAAGTTCAATGTTTAATTGTTCCTTCTTAAAATGCAATTAAAAGGTTAAAGGATCTTAAATAACTAAACATAATGTACTAAAAAAATTTAATGGTTTTGTTAATAGACTCCAAGGATAAACAAAGTTGTCTTGCCAACTGTGCCAAAGTCATGCTTAGCCATTTTACAAGTTAATACATAAATAAGAGTCATTATTTTACATCAAATGAGATAGAAAAGTACACCTCCATTTGATTGGACATAACCCATACAGTAATTAAAGTTTCAGAACAGCTACGCAAAACTGCATCAAGTCCTTCTTTAATTATTACAGTAGAACCCCCGTATCTGAGGGGGATAAGTTCCAAGAGCCTGCCGTGGATACTATCCACAGATAGTATCCGCAGCAGGTTTCAGATAGCAGTAGTGAACCTTACAAGTCTTTTTCATTTGCATACATACCTATAATAAAGTTTAATAAATTATGCACAATAAGTGGAGAATTATCACTTTTTCAATGATGGGAAGCACTTCATGGCTTCTCTTAGGTTTCAAAGAACTTCCATCATCACTACTTTTGCACTCTGAGGCCATTTTTAAGCAAAATTAAGGGTTATTTTCAGGCCAGGGTACACTGAAGATAACTGAAACCATAGATACCAAACCTGCGGAAACAGGGCTCCTACTGTATTATTATTTGTGCAAAAAAGGTACAAAATACCAACAATATGAAAGTTAACACACATGTGCAACATCTGGTTATCTTTATTGTAGACGTTTCGCCATCCAGTGGCACAACTTGTCAGACACTGAAACATCATGGAATCTTGGTTCAGAGGACATCTACAAGACCTTCTTCACGGCTACTACAACTAACCCATCCCTTTGGGTAGGACCTACTTCCACTGGGGAATCCTGACTACCAGTGACTATGCCCTCGTCTGCTACACGTCCATATCCACCGACGTCTATATAACCACCAGTCTTCTTGCCATTGCAAGATTCTCCACCACCACGATGCTCTCAACACCAACTCCAAGGCTGAGGCACTGATTACCTCATCTTTTGTATATTGTTCTACTGTTCTCTAATTATGTCTTAGAATCTGCATTGATAAAGCCACTGGATGGTGAAACGTCTGCAATAAAGATAACCAGATGTTGTACATGTGTCTTAACTTTGTATTATTATTTCCTATAGTTTTGATACACTACAGTATATCTTCGATCATTTACTATCATTTATATTTTTTTATTAGCACATCAGCTGTTTCCTACCAATGTAGGGTGGCCCAAAAAAGAAAAACTTTCATCATCATTCACTCCATCACTGTCTTGCAACATTAGCATCCCTCCTTCAGATTGCAGGCACTGTACCTTCCATCTCCAGGATTCAAGTTTGGCCTGCCAGTTTCCCTGAATCCCTTCAAAAACGCAACCTTGCTCACACTCCAACAGCATGTTAAGTCCTAAAAAACATCTGTCACCATTTACAATTACAGTGGACCCTCAGTTATTGTAATTAATCTGTTCCAAAGAGTGTGACTAAAGCTGAATTTGACAATTCATTTTCCACATATGAAATAATGTAAATCCAATTAATCCACTCCAGACACCCAAAAGTATTAAAAAAATAATTTTTTTTTTTACATGAAATATACATTTACCTACACAGAAAACAATGAGACATGACAAATAAAACAATAATAACATAACACTTACCTTTATTGAAGACTCTTCTTAGTGTATTGAAGATGGGAGGAGGGGAGAGGATGGAGAAATTACTGTTTGGAAGGGGAATCCCATTCTAAAAAGACTTCAGGTACCAAGTCCTTTTCTGGGGTTACTTCCCTTCTTTGTTTTTTAATGCCACTAGGACCAGCTTGAGAGTCACTGAACCCCTGTCGCTCAAAAAAGTGTTCCAGAGAGGTCTGTTTCTGGTATATATTAGGAATTGTGGTGCGGCAGGGTAGTGTGTTGGGAGACAGGACATAATAGTCTTTCAATATGACACTAATATCAACTCTACGGCTCATTTATCTAGCACAATTTTCATCTAATATGACATAATAAACAATATTAATAATGTAGAAACATACAATACTTTATTTGGACATGATACATAGTTGTACAAGGAATTATAGTTGGGTGTACATGCCAAAAGCCCCTTGTATGCAGAGCATTATGGGCAGGCTTAAAATTAACTTAATATTAACTAAGCAATGATATATTCAGTGGTAAAAATTACAGTAAACAAAATACAACATGAAGTACAAATGAGTATTTTAAAGAATGAAATTTGAACCTTTCAATTAAGAGGCATTATAGTTGCACATATTTGTAACATAACAATGTATAATATAACAAAATGATCAATATACTATATCAATATACTATTTGTAGTGCAGAAACATGTCATATGATCGTTAGACGAGTTACTGCGCATTCAAGAGAATAGATTATTCTATTAGGTAATGTAATTAAAAAAACATAGTTTGATGGGGTCACAGGCTACACTTTTATAAAATACAGTTATTCAATATTTATTTAGTTGTGGGTGAGTAAGTGGTTTTTAAGAAGAGTCTTGAATTGATAAACAGACAGTGTTTCTTTTGTATTCACAGGTAATAAATTCCAGATTTTTGGGCCTTTTATGTGCATTGAGTTTTTACATAGTGTGAGATGGACACGAGGAACATCAAAGAGTGATCTGTGCCTTGTGTTATGGTCATGTGTTCTGTTGAGGTTGGTAAGGAGAAGTTTGAGGGGAGGGTTTATATCTGAGTATATTGTTCTATGTATGTAGTAGGTACAATAATAAGTATGGATGTTTTGTACATTGAGTAGTTTAGACATGATACTGTATATACTCTAAAATGAATAAAATATGTCATATGTCTCTCTCCCTAACTGACAAGTGTTGTTGTGTTGTTGGTTGTATAAGGGCCACTGAAAGATAAGCCTTACATAGTGGTGTTGATGGTGGCAGCATAGACGGCAGTGTTGTCAGTCACCCTATATAACTCCAACAACATTGGAGGAGTCAGTTTCGTGCTGCCCTTTTTCTATCGATTAATTGCTTAACTTACTTGCTACACTGTTAATGCTACACTTCATCACTGGCTGGCACTATAGCCTTTATGGACTCCTGCTGCTTTAGTATCGTACATATAGCAGAATCACTGAAGGAGGCACATTCTCCCTTCTCTCTCAGCCCTTTACCAAAGGGCTGGCTGGTACTAGGAACTTTCTTTGGGCCCATGGTGGCTTATTTAGTAGTTGCAAGCACTAAAAAGAATGAAATAATACGAAATGTATCGTATGAATGTGTGGGATCGTGCTCACTGGCTGATAAACAATGGCACACTGAGTGTCGGGCTGCTGTTGCCATGTGGATGCGTTCGGACGAATGACTATTACCAAGCTCAATGACGATCACCGAGTCAATATTCTGACAAAAAAATCGTTACAATTTCCGAATATTACGAAATCCAACGACTACGATATCCAGGCGTCCACTGTATCAGAATAAAAAAGTACAATTATTTCTTAAAATGCCTTTCCTACAGAGCCTTTCTTCAATAATTTAAAATTATGGCCTCTCATTCTAACTACACACATAGTACAGTAGAACATCAACTTACAGGTGTCCCAACATACGAGCTTATCGAGATACGAGCCATCGCTCGGTCGATTTTTTGCTCTGAGTTACAAGCCAACATCCAAGTTATGAGCAAGCTTCCCCTGTTTCCCCTGCAACCCACAACCTGCACACTTCACTTGTTTATCTATGATTTCATGCTTTAATTCTCAGCACTGTCCTTTGCACTTACTTTCTTAGGACCCATGGTTAGAAAAAAAATATTTGGCAAAATAACTGTACAAAATGCAAGCAAAACATGAGAGAAACGCTTCCACGGCAAGGTAAACAGTGCACTGAGTTGGCGACATTCTGAAGCTCCTCTATTATTATTATAATAATAATTATTATTGTCATTATTATTATTAATTTAGGAAACTAGAGCACAGATGCAATTCCCTAGATTAAGAGCCCATCACCAGCATCAAGGAACCTTGAAGCTGGTGAGGGGCTCTTGATCTAGGGAATTGCATCTTTGCTCCAGTTCCCTAAATTAATAATAATAATAATAATTATTATTATAATAAAAATAATAATAAGAAACGAGCTACAGAACACCGCCACTAGTTGACACAGCGAACGCCACAACATCAGCTGAGCTGTGCACGTGTTTAAACAAAACAAATTGTAGCAGTTAAGTTCACAATAAAGCGTAGCATTAAGAGTGTATGTAGCAAATAAGTTAGCGATTAAGCGATAGAAAAAGGACAAAACAAAACAAACTTCTCCAATGTTATTGTTGGTGTTTATAGGGCCACTGACAGCATATGCCACTCTGCCTATCCCACCCTCAACCTCCGCCAGCATCTCTGCTCCAAGGTAAGTGTGTATGTACACTTTATATAACCAGTTTATGTCTTTACATTCTCCATTATGTTTTATTATATTTTTATATAATATTTCTTATTTATAAATACATATATTGCTTCAGTGTTTTCCTTATGAAACTCCTGATCTAGTGCAGTTAGCCTCACAAACTCAGTTTTCTCTTATAATAAGACCTCTGAAGGGGAAGCATGGGTAGCATGGTTGGAGTGGGAATGACCGCTAACACTCATCACATAATGACATTTTATTCATTCTAGAGTATATATCATGTTTCTATGTTATTTATAATGTTTATTATGTCATATTAGACGAATTGTGATAGATAAATAAGCCGTAGAGTTGATATTAGTGTCACATTGAAGTATTTTGTCCTGCCTCCCGAGAGCAGGAATTCCGCTGCAATGGATTAATGGCATTTCACTTAATTTAAATGAGGAAAACTGACTTGATATATGAGCAAATTGAGTTACGAGCTAGGTCACAGAACGGATTAAACTTTTAAGTCGAGGTTCCACTGTATACTATTTTCAAAAGACATAGTAAT